ATCATTTTATAAAGGATTAAGCACCGACTTGGCTTGGGAGGAGTAATAAGGCCTGAACAGTTCAGCACATCACCACTGTCACATCCATTCTTACAAGTACACGATGTGTATGCATTTAAAAAAGCAAACTGTAACCTATTTAATACTGAGTTTTAAAGGAACTGGTAGGCAGAGTTTGTTACCTTTGGACAGACAAAAGAATGACATAGGCTCCTTTGTCCTATAAAACCGCTCAACTATTTTAGGTATTGTTTACTCAGACTTACTTACTTACTCAGACACGAACCTCAAGTGTTTGCAGACGATGTGCAGTTAATGTTTCAGCTGGTGCTGCAGTTACACAGTTGTCAGATTGTATGTGTACAAGTTACACATCTTCAGTTCAAAATCCAACAAGCTGCAAACATTTCGTGCTGTGACAGAAAACACCAAGCAAGCACCTCTTCAAACCCAAATAATTCTCTCATGACCGAGTCAACATGTTTAGTCTAGTTTGGCAGTGCTAACATGCTGATGATAAGGACCAAATGTTTAAAAATTCTGTGTTAGCAAAACACATCTCGAGACTACAGACCTGTGTTGCTGTGTTTGCGTAAGGACTGTAGGTTTCGATGATATCGACGATCAACATTAGATGATAAGACAAAAATGATGTGAGTCTTTGGATTTCTCTGTTGTCACACTGGTTAATTTTCAATTAAATATGAATAACTTTAAATTATCTTGAAAATAGATGTGTGAATAGAGAAATCGAGTGCTGTAGAAAATTCAACAGAAGCCGGTTTTAAGCAGGTTTATTAATCAAAGACAGAGAAAAAGATCAATATTACTGTAAGAATGGCTTTAGCGCCTTGAAGAAAGAAATGTAAAATGAAACATCGAGCAGCTTATCTCCAGTCATAGCAGACTCCAGATCAATGAGATTAGATGGGGAAGTTTTTTTATGTGTCCACTACCTGTAAGGCTTACGCGAAGCATGAAATAACTTTACAAGTGTACTCCTGCAAGATGTACTTTAGTCAAAAGGCTTTGGACAAATGTGTTTGTTCAGGGAGAAATCTGAGAGTAAAACAATCTTGATTCATGATTCCAGCTGTTAAAGATCAGGTTCAGGTTAACTGACCATGAATAGTTGCACCCTTCTATGACAAAGCAAAGTCTTCCCTTCAAGTCAAGATTCAAATGAGGTACAGGAAAGACTAACTGTGCCTTTTTGTTGTTTGCAGCAACTGCAGACAGATTTGTGTCTTGTGATTTTTGAACATGCAACACCAAAATCATGCATTTAGCACATTTGTGCAAAATGTTAACTTAGCACGTGAGAGCAAAACAAAACTTACGAAAGCAGTCTGGGTAGTAATAGTGTCCATCAGCACAGCGATCGCAGTTTTCTCCAGCAAACTGTGGCTTGCAGATACACCATCCAGACCCCATTTCACATCCAGCTGTCGTTCTTTCGTCACAGCCGCAGGCTGGTAGATGCCATGTGATTTTATGAAAAGAAAAAAGAAAGTGCCCATGTTAACATGTGCAAAATGTAGATGTAAAATACACATATAGACAAACACATGCATCATCAGAGTAAAATCCATCTATTTTCTTCCTGTTATCTACTTCAGGGTCACGGGGTGGGGTGGGGGGACTGGAGCATATCCCCGCTGCTATTGGGCGGGAGGCGGGGTACACGTTGGACGGGTCACCAGTTTGTCGCAGGGCTGACACAGAGACAGTTATCCTTTCATACTCATATTCACACGTATGGGCAAATGAGAATCATCAACCTGTGGGACGAGGTCAGAGTACCCACACAGATCCTGCAAACTCCACACAGAAAGACCCCGACCACATGGTCGATTCGAAACCAGCAAATTCTTAATGTGAGGCAACAGTGCTGATGACGATGCCCACTCAGAGCACAAATTGAGGTTAAATACCCAAAATTTTCACAAAGTAAAGTAACACGTACAGAAAGCTTTCAACCATCCCAAATCCCAAAACGAGAGCTCTTAAAAGTTAATAATGATGAACAGTAAACGACTCTGAACACTTTCGGCTACTAAGCTACTTAATTGAGTTTGTGTATTTTATGATTAAATTAAAAGCTCTTGGGTCAACCGCTTTAATTCCACTACTTTGTCATGTGCAAACACAACTGTCAGCTATTTATACCAAGAGGAATAGTGATGGACCATTAAAGTAGTGTAAACAATGGCAGAGCCCAGTTTAGCAATAAAACAAGCGGCGGTGCCAGTGGTGCTTGACAGTGGTGCCATCTGTGCCAGTCTAAAGCGAGGTGCTAAAGCCTTGCTTTGAATAAAAATACACTTTGGCTTCACTCATTGGTCACACATGTTGTAGGTCACATAACAACATGGTGGGACAATAGTTGATTCCCAAACGATCTGTTGTCGTATCTTGAAAAATCAAAAATGTCAGAGAAGCTGCAAAAACGGATTCCACAAAAATACACACACGCATGCATAAACAGTATAGGCTTATATTTCCACAGTCTTTTTTTTTTCATCAGTACATAGTAAGGTTTTACAACATCAGTATTAAAACAGCATTGTGATGTGACACAGACAAAAATGTGGCTTACGTATGCATCCGGTGGGAGACTCAGTAGGTACACCGTAAGGCCTGTAGAAGCCTTCAATGCATCTCTCACAGTTCACTCCAGCAGTGTTGTGCTAAAGAATGATACAGAACAAAATTAACTTTAGTCTTGAACAAAAAAAATATGAGTTTAAGTTTCTAGCTTTGCATCAATCTATGTGGACATTACGCAATACTTAATATCCATAACACTCCATCTTAACATAACACTCAATTCAAATTTATCTTGGCAAAGAGAAGGTCACAAAGTTCCTAGAAAGTTTCAAAAAGAACGTTTGCTTTGGCCTCACACAGCAAGTTGCACATATTTCAAACTGAAGTATGCAATATCCAATCCTCTGCAAAAGACTGATATAGAGACGTGCAGTATGGAATATTACTTCACTTTCTATCCTGTTTTCAACCACACACATGCAAACATAAGAATCAGTTTAGACTTGATACCCAGTACATACCTGGCAGTTGATGCACACTCCTCCTCCATCAAACCTGCCGAAGGTGTCTAAACTTGTTCCCCTTTTTTCCACCTCTGGGTCGTAATAACAGTCGAAGGCATGGGAGAAACACTGGCAGGCTGAGGAGGAAACCCCCCAAGACAAACACACACACACACACACACACACACACACACACACAGACAAGTATTATTCTATACTGTCAGTAAATTACCTCTGACTCCCCCTTTCCCCCTGTAA